AAGTTGAAGAAGAGGTGGTAAAAGGAAGGGAAAATATTTTTAATCTAATACAATAAAAAGAGCTCATTCCTTTTTTTTTTTTTTTTTTTAATACTACAGAGGATTGAACCCAGGCATTCTTAGCCAATGAGCCACATTCTCAGACTTTTTTATTTTTTATTTTGAGACAGAGTCTTACTAAGTTGTCAAGACTAGCTGTGAACTTGTGATACTCTTGCCTCAGTCTCCCTATCTGCTGGAATCATGGGAGTACCCAATTGCACATGGCCTTGATGCATATTAGTGCATATTTGTGTTCTGTTGACTTGTTTGTATTTTGAGATGGGGTCTTGCTATGTTGCCCAGACTGGTCTCTAACTCCTAGCTAGATTCTAGGGATCCTCCCACCTCAGCCTGGGACAATAGGCAAGTGCTACCATGCTGGGCTCTCTCCTGGTTTTTTTTTTTTTTTTTTCCAGTTTTCGCGGATACAACATCTCTCTCTCTTTTTTTTTTATTTTATTTTATGTGGTGCTGAGGATCGAACCCAGCACCTCGCACATGCCAGGCGAGCGTGTTACCGCTTGAGCCACATCCCCAGCCCCTACTGGGTTGTTTTTAATGTTTGAATTTTGAAAGTTCTTTATGTATTCTGGACATAAATCTTTTGTCAGATATGTGATTTGCAGACATTCCTTCCCATTTTGTGGCTTGCCTTCTTTGCTTAACTGCCCTTCGAAAAGCAGCCCTTCTTCTTTTTATTTTTGGTATCAGGGATTGAACCCGGGGCACTTAACTGCTATGCACATCCCCAAGCCCTTTTTATATTTTATTTAGAGACAGGGTCTTGCCGAGTTGCTTAGGGCCTCACTAAGTTGCTGAGGCTGGCTTTGAACTCGTGATCCTCCTGCCTCAGTCTCCTGAGCTGCAGGGATTACAGGTATGCACCACTGTGCCCGGCTCCATCTTCATTTGGATGAAGCTCATATTGTTATTTTTTTCTTATATGGTTATGATTTTGAGGTGTTATCTAATAAATTTTTGCCTTATCTAAGGTCTCTCAAGAGAACTTGCCTTATCTAAGGTCTTTTTTCTTCTAGAAGCTTGTAATTTTAGACCTTAAGTTAGCATCTGTGATTAATTCTGAATTAATTTTTATTGGATGTTTGGTATGAATGGCGGTTCACTTTACTTTCGATTTTTTCTTCCTCTTTCCCCTCCCCTCCCCCTCTTTCTTCTTCTTCTTCCTCCTCTTCTTCTTCTCCTTTCTCTTTCTTTTGGTCTATGAACATCCATGGCTGGGAGAAAGGCCCCTGTCATGCAGCTATGATACAGGACACACTTTTCCAAAAGTTTGCACCAAGCAAGTTACTATCTATAAAATATTTACCTCTGTCTCTATTGTTATTAGTGTCCAAAAAACTTGTGACTCTGAATCTTACCCTTCAGAGACCACCCCACTCCTGCCCCTGGTCCAGTAGGTGGGGTGGTATGCTTCCAAGAGAACACCACCTCCCCATCTTTTCCCCTCTCACTCTGCTTTGTAATTTGACCTTGAAGGTGTGGCTATTTTTAAACATCCCTATAGGAGGAGACTCAGAAGGTGATGGTGAAGTACCAGAGACCCTTAAACATACCCTTGCTTTGTCAAGTTCATGGGTCTGTGCACTCTGGCACCTGCCACAGCTCCCTTTGTCTTTTGGCAGTCATGGATGTGGTCTCAAGACAAGGAAGGCAGGGAGCAGCACTCCCATGGAAATGTTGACCTATCTCTTTGTTCCTATCCAGATCATCCTACCTTGGGTAACACAGTCAGACAAAGTGCACGAACAGACCCGGGCCTTGGGCACTATTTCCCGGTTGCAAAGATTTATTTGCAATTTCCCTGAAGTGTTGGTGAGTGCTTGGAGTAGGGTATGAGGCAGACACAGGGGGCCCTGCTTCTCTGCCTGTGTGGCACCTGATTGAGCCCAGGGCTTATCAGGGGGTAACCAGAGAGCTGGCAGTCAGAGTGCCTCGTGCTTTTTTTTTTTTTTTTTTTTTTTTTTAAAGAGAGAGTGAGAGAGGGGGACAGAGAGAGAGAGAGAGAATTTTAACATTTATTTTTTTTTTTTTTTTTGCATTAGTGTCTTTTCTATTACAGTGAAACAAGTCACTTCTTTGTCTGGTTTGCCCTGAGCCCACCTAACCAGCTACATCTTGGCCTTGTGGGGGACCTTGACCTAGATAGCTGGTTTGGGGCCCCAGATGCTCACTGACTAATGCGCTTGGGCTGTCCCTTACCTGGGTGCTGATTACAAAGGTTTTTCTTGGCCAGGACAGAGTGTGGAGCTGGGGGGGGCAGGTAGGCTGGGTGGGTCCTGGTAGGGAGAGGCTTCTTTCTGGATGGTGGGGAGGTAACCAGTTTCTTCTCCCTGGCAGCATATGCCGCTGTTCTCCATGAGCGGGAAGCTGATGGGCATCCTGGGCCTCATGTGCGTGAACTCCAACCAAGAGATCAGCATGGAGGCCTCGGAGGCCTTGCATTACTTGTTCAAAATCCTTGCGCTTCAGAGAGGTAAGCCACCTGACTGCAGCTGTGGGGATCCACTGAGTAACAAGAGCCAGCAAGCCATGCTGAGCGTGTGCCCGTGTTCCATCAGGCACCCGGAGAAAGGCAGTTCCCTCTTGCAGCAGTGTTGGAGTAAATATGCCACATGGCCCCGAGACCAGGAAGCCATTACAAGTAGATCTGGAAACTATCT